TATAGATAATTAAGAACAAATTATTATTGGCTCATTATAAATGATATAGATAAGAACAAATCATTATTGGCTCATTATAAATGATATAGATAAGAGCAAATCGTTATTGGCTCATTATAAATGATATAGATAAGAGCAAATCATTATTGGCTCATTATATAAAATGTCATGTTTGTTGGGTCTCTCCCTTGAATCCAATTTTTTTCAGGTTCACCGGTTTCCATCCCTCTGCAAAACCTAAAACGCCATATTCTGATTCAATTTGTGAGTTAGCCGTGCCCTGACTTTAATCAGCCCAGAGGCGGTTTCAGGGTTCGATCTGTGAGTTAGCTGTGCCCTGACTTTGATCAGCCCAGAGGCGGTTTCAGGGTTCAACCTGTGAGTTAGCTGTGCCCTGACTTTGATCAGCCCAGAGTTTGTTTCAGGGTTCAATCTGTGAGTTAGCCTTGCCCTAACTTGGATCAGCCCAGAGGTTGTTTCAGGGTTTGATCTGTGAGTTAGCTGTGCCCTGACTTAGATCAGCCCAGAGGCGGTTTCAGGGTATGGATAAAATTCGAATGCCATTGATGGGCACGTGGTAACGTTTACTCCATCGCACCACGTGAACTCTCATGCTTCTAATTTTATTGATTGATTTGATTACCTCTTCGCAGATCTTCTCGAGTAAAGGAAGCCATGATGTTGCAAGGTGACAATTCTGTAGCACAACCCAGTCACCATCCGTGAGGGCCTGAAACACAACGCGTAATTATCTTATCACATGACTGGAATCTCTTATTTTAAGTGGACAAATCTTTGTTTTAATATAGTCCTTTCTATAATGGATCCTTCTCCAAATTATCTTGAATGCCAGTCTAACATGGAAATACAAAAGAAAAGCATTTTGTCGCATCGRCGATTTCGCGCGTGATTTAGAACGTGAATATATTATATTAAACACTTATTGATTATCATCCTTACATTATTGATCAGTTTTCCTGCCACGGGTCCTTGACCCTGACCCAAAGATACCGTTTGAAGGTGTGTCCTACCAACGCCCAGATCATCTGCAAACTTGATCAAACTTGCCATGGGATCTGCGCCGGGTGACAACACGAAAATCAGCGGTACACAGCAGTCTGAGTCCTCGTAACATCTCGCCAGGTCCAGTGGTGGCGGTTCGATGTATTTCTCTTCCATGTGGTACACAATAAACTCGTTTACTGCTACTGTTACCTGAAAATACGTTAAAAAACCGGTCAAACTGGCTTTCAGCTATCGATTACAAAAACCCTAACCAGAATACAACAAAGCTTGCTACACCAAGAAAGACCCAAGAAATCGCAAAGATAGATGCATACATACACGCAYYTGATCTCATACGCCACGATCTATAGACGTACCTTGTCAGGTCGTAAACACCTGAGGATGATCAACTGCTCTAGTCTATTCAAATCATCCACCCATGGCTCTGGTAACGGCTCACTGTTAGGATTGGCTGAGTCGTAAAATGCCTTCCATTCTGAAAGCTACAAAGAAAAATATAAATATCACTGAAGTCACAACACATTTCATATTACACTGCTTCTCGACAGCACGCGCGGAATCGTCGTTGCGACAAAGAAGGTTTAGGTAGACGTCAATCAAAGTGTTTCCATGACATCACATAGAAACGTCATGGAAACAATTTGATTGACATCCAGCAAAACCCTATCTTTTCGTGACGGCAAATTGTTCTACGCGTGTTATTGAGAAGCGCTGATAATCTCGAAATTGTTTTAYAGGTGTTTTATTTATGCCTTAAATTGAAGTGACAGCATCAGCATCACCACAACCGAGCTACCAACAATGACAAAAATAAGAGCAGATATACAACAGCACCAACATCATCATCAACAACAACAACAACATCAACAACCACAAGACACTGAATTAACTGAATCAAAAAACCAGAAAAACGACAACAACATAACTTGTATCAGTTTTGTCTTTTCAGCGCGCATCTGGATKTTGGATTTTAAGAATGAAAAATCCTCAAATCCCAGATTTATTTACATGGGAGAGGGAGAGGAGAGGAATTTGTTTTTAGAAGTATTCTTACATTCTCGGTGAAGTGTTCCATGAGGCCTTTGAACGCGGGAAGATCAGAACAACGGACCAGCTCTGCCCAGGATTTATCGGTCAGCCATTCCGGAGCGGGGTTTGGAAACTTGCATTCCAAAGCTATCCCGCCCGTCAGCAAGAATCGCCACTCTTGTTCGTCTAGTTTACCACTAATAAAAAAAAAATCCTAAATATTAAGGTTTTTAGAAAGATGTCAATGTTGTTCGTAGCAAAAGGTTTTCGCCCCAGCAGCCTCGAAATGGAGTACGTCCGAGTGAGTTTAAAGGGGCAAAAGACAACAGTTTTTATTTTACTGGATATCGAAAATTCAAAAGTTTTATCGATACCCTAAGGAAGTCAAGACACGATAGAATTGGTATTTAGTATGTTTTGTGGAGGGAGAAAAACCAGAGAACCCAGAGAAAAATTCTCGAATCGAGAGACCTAACAAACTCTACACATGTGTGATATCTACGAATTGATCCCAAGGCCCCAGAGATGAGAAGTTAGTACACTATTCAGTGCTACAACACCCTTGACTCCTGTTCCAAGACTAAAATGGTTGATTATAAATTTACCTTCCTTGAAGAATACCAACGCAGAGCAAGAACGAGAAGAGTAGTTTGTCTTTCTCGAACAGCGACCGACATACATTAATGTAAACACTGGAAAATAAAGGGAGGAGGAGGAATATAAGGAAAGGATGGAGTATTGAAACTAGTACAACATACTAAGACAAGGGAAGAAAACTCTTGACTCTAGTTCTTAGTGCGCATGCACGGCATTTTGTTGGGCATGCGCAGTAATGTCAGGACCCTGGAGTGATAAATATAATAATAATAATAATAATCACCATCATCATCATCATCACCATCATCATCATCATCCATGACATGACCAGCACCCATTCTACATTATCTCCTGATAAAGACTTAAAGTTTGCGATCAAAGTGTCGTGGTCTGCTACAAATGACCACTGATGTGGGACAGCTTGATAACATATTTATTATTCGTTGTTAAGAAYATACCTGTAGGTGAAGTGGTCGTTGAGATTTCGTATCCTTTGGTTAAGATCAGACGAGCGTTCGCTATTGTTGATCGACTAGAAAAACAAATAAACGTAATGAGAGAAGACGACCGAATGGTGGACAACCTGCAGGAGGCATGCCTAGGTACCATGGTGTMTAATTTGATATACCCTACCTACCTGAAGGTATAGGTTGATAAACCACGTTAGTGAATACTGGTACATAGGCTCGATGTTCGCCATGGAAGAAATGGTAAAAAACAGGATGGAGGAATGGTTGGCCACCTGAAAGAAAAGGATGATCAATCACATAAATGAAATAAAGGAAGGAAGGAAGGAAGGAAGGAAGGAAGGAAGGAAGGAAGGAAGGAAGGAAG